CTTGGGACAAGGGCAGGGAGGGAGAGGACAAGGGGGAAGGGATTAAAACTGGAAGAGGGAGATTGAGGTGAGACATGAGGAGGAAATTGTTTGGTGTGAGGGTGGTGAGAGCCTGGCCCAGGTTGCCCAGGGAAGCTGTGGCTGCCCCATCCCTGGCAGTGTTGAAGGGCAGGTTGGATGGGGCTTGGAGCAGCCTGGGCTGGTGGGAGGTGTCCCTGCCCATGCAGGGGGGTTGGGGCTGGATGATCTTTAAGACATGGCCAGCAGAGTGCAGGCATCAGATCTTTCCCCCTCCAAAAGTCCTCAAGACCAGGCTGGGCAGATGTTGGTCAGGACTGAGCAGATGACCCTGCCCAGGAGAAGGGGATGGGGTGGCCACCCCAAGATCACTTCTCTGGCTGAAATGCCAACGTTTCCTGCAGGATGTGCACAGCACAGCTCTGTCCCTCCTGGTGGCAACATCTGCACCAGGAGTTGACACCAGAAACTGCAGCATGAAGGGCTTGAAGGAAACATCCACCTGGACTAAAAAAAACAACTCAGCAGGCCACAGTTTCCTTTGCCTGGGACTGAAGAAATGTCACAGCAGGCTGAGGGCTGCAGTGGAGGGTGAACATCAGTGGGAAACAGCTGATCAGCTGAATTTAGGAAGGCAACTTGGGAGCTCTCCATGACCAGCTGGGTGTCTTTGGTTCAGACCCCTGTGTCAGCTGAAAACATTTAGCTGTGCCAGTGATAAGCTCTGAAGAGAACTCCAAGATAAACCAAGGGAAAAGGTTACCTAACAATGACAGTCTCAGCTGCACATCCAGCTGCATCAACTGCTCAGCTTGACCTTTGGGGAATGACAAAGCAAGCACTGTTCTGGTGAGCAGTCACCCTTCCTGGGTGGGTAAATAAATCACTGGTAAGAGAGGATGGTGGCTTCTCCTGGTTGTCCTCTGCTCACTGCTAGGTCCCCTCCCTGGAGGTGTTCAAGGGCAGGTTGGATGGGGCTTGTGCAGCCTGGGCTGGTGGGAGGTGTCCCTGTGCTCAGAGCAGAGAATTTGGGACCTGATGATCTCCAACGTCCCTTCCAACCTTCACCATTCTATGATTTCTTCATTTAAGAGGATCAGGAAAGTTAGGAAAAAAAAAGATCACACCTATTCCAAAGTAATTTTCCCCTCCCTGAACCCCACAAAGCATCAGTGCCCCAACAGCTGCTGCTGAGGCTGCAGCAGAGCCAAGCTGGGGTGAAACACTGGCTCAGAATGGGGGCTGCCCTGGGACACCAACAGGTCTCCAGTGCAAGTGGTTGAAGCTGCTGGTCTCCAAGTCAGCCAGGAACAGAAAGGATCTGGATCCTGTTTCCAGCTTGGCCACTTTCACACCACCCAAGGGTGAGTCAGACCTGGTACCTGAGCTGCACTTTCCCCCCTGGAAAAGAGGGCAAGAGTGATTTGTGGCTAGAAATGGAGCTGGATCATAGGAGCTCCTGGTCATGAAGAGCCAAGAAGTGAGCAGAGAGAGGGCTTTCTGGTGAGACCTTGGGGGTGGAAAGGGAACACAACCCCCCCCAGGGGGATGCAGGGCTCCCAGAGCTGTGCAATCAGCTCCCCCCTGCAGCACTGCCTGCTCCAGCCAGACCTGCAGCCTCTTCCATCCCCACCTCCTCATCCAAACACTCAAGAGCCTTCTCCTGGGCTTCCACAGCTCAGGTCTTTCCCAAAGCATCCCCCCCAGAAGGCACCAAGCCCAAGGGGGAGGGAGGCAGCCCCAGGAGGGGGCTGGGCTGGGGGAGGCAGGAGAAACACCCGGTGCTTTGCAGGGGGAGCTGGAGCTGAGGGTGCCCAGGGGGCTTGTTGCTGACAGCTGGGGTTTGGGAACCTGCCAGAGGTCAGACCCCTGTTCAAGAGCCAGAAAGCTCTGGTGGTCACTAACAAGGGGATCATTCTGGCAACAGTCAAAGCCTTTGCAACCCCCACCAGCCACAGCGCAGGGACAGAGATCAGATGGGTCTATTCAAAACCAGGAGAGCAGCAGGACAGTCTCACCCCCAGCCCTCCCCGGTGGCTCACACGGTCACAGGAGGGATGAGAAGTGGCTGGAGGTCACAGAGGCTTTGGGCTTTCCCCCAGCTTGCCAAGGAGGTGAGTGACCAGCTTCTGCAGGGCTTCAGCCCGCCCCGCCGAGACGTGCAGCACCTCCTCATGGTTGGCCTTCTCCTGGCTGCTGTAGCTTGTGACCACTTTGTTGGTGATGAGGGAGATCCCCAGGACTCTGAGGCCACAGTGCCTGGCTACTATGACTTCTGGAACAGTGCTCATGCCTACGGTGGGAAAGGAAAAGACCAGGATGAGTCAGGATTTGCACCAAAGCAAGGGCTGCCCACGGCAGCAAACCATGATCTGACCTTCAGCTGGTGCCCTTCACAGAATCCCAGGCTGGTCTGGGTTGGAAGGGACCTTCAAGATCATCTAGATCCAACCCCCTGCATGGGCAGGGACACCTCCCACCAGCCCAGGCTGCTCCAAGCCCCATCCAACCTGCCCTTCAACACTGCCAGGGATGGGGCAG